AGCTCTGAAAACATCGCAGCCGGTTACTTCTAACGGCATACCGCAGTCGTTTTACAGAATGTTTCCCACCCATCTTTCCTTTCCCCTAAGCCACATTTTCAACATCCTCTTATACTAGAGCAGATCCCTAATCCAAGGAAAGCTGCAGTCGTGACAAAGATTCCAAAAGGAAAGGGATCTACAACTGCTAGCAACTACTGCTCGATCAGTGTCCTTCCCACATCATTGAAGGTGCTTGAGAGAAAGCATTGAATGGTTGGATCACCTGATTTAGCGGGATATCCCACCTGCTCACAGTTGATAGACTGTTCATACCACTGGATTAAAGCATTAGGCGAAGGGATGTAGTTTACTTTAATCTTTTCAAGCCTTTGACACTGTTTGTCGTAAGTGCTCTTGGGCAGATTGCGGAATATAAGAATAGAAGGCACTTTACTTGATTTGTTCCGATCTTACCTTGGTGATAGAAAGTCGATAGTGCGCTTCTCTCAAAACTTTTCTTTTCCTAAGAGAGTCTGTTGGGCGTCCCACGGGGAAAGATTTTGTCGCCCATACTTTTTCTCATATACACGTAGATAATTGTGCATGCATACGCGGACATCAAAAACACTGCAGCCTATAGTGAAACCGAAAAAGAAGCAATTCAGCGGGCTTTACGGAATCTGTCGAACGTATGCTGCAGTAGGCGGATTTTTGGCATCTCAAAGTCAACATTTGCAAAAGCCAGCATCTCCCCATCAGATCGCTTTCACTATACAATTATGACCATGTGCTAGTAAAAATGTTAGTAAGTAGGGAACCGCTTGTTTTGGCGTATAATTTGCAGTGATTTAAAATTTGAGAGTCATATTGACGAGGACAAGGGCTTGAGAGTTCTGCACTGTCTATTTCGAAACGTCACAAATTCGAATCTTTTTCTTTCGATTAGACTTTTCAAAATGTTCGTTGGCTGGAATGTTTGCTTATTAGTCTTTTATGCCTTAAAAATCCAGCGCACTTCAAAAAACCAAAATAGACATTCTACGAGTGTTAAGCATTTGGAACGTCAAACAATTTTTTTGTCGTTTTTTCTTTTCATTCTCCATTCGTGATTGGCTCCGGTCCTTGTTGACTCGTTTAGATCCTGCCTTGCAGTAAGTTGGATAGTGTGTCTTTCATATGCTTCTTATGTACGGGTGCAGTTTTGTCGGCTAAATCTTATCACTTTTCATCATCTTTTCAAGTATCTTCATCTAGTCTTTGAAGGCTTTTTGTTTAGATCTTTTGTTTCCTTTGCATTATACTGACGGTAATATGAGTTCACTTCTGGCGTTGTTTTGTCTTCTTCCGCCAGTCCGGCCAGCCATGGCCGGTTTGTGGAGAGGAGCGGGGTTGCGCCAAGCGGTGGTACTGGCAGCCCTATGCCCAGTACCTTTTGGCTTGTCTGACGGGGGCTGCCAGAGTAACCGACCCGCGGGCTTCCGGTCTGTCTGTCTGTCTGATAGAGCTGACGGGCGAAGGGGGACAATGTTGCCAACGTTGTTTATGTTCCTCTTTTCCTCCACTGTGTGCAAAGTAGATTGGTAGATGTGGATGACTGTTTTTCCATTACAGTGTGATTCAACTTTGTTGTTTTTTTCTTTTTCTCTATTTACTGTCGTGTTATATACCTTGCCTTGATCTAACTTTGTTGTATCAAAGCACGCCTTCTGGCGTACAAAATAAATAAATAAATGAAAATTTGGAGACTTCTCGCCGATGCTGAACCCATATCTGGGCTTTGCAGCGCACGAAAATGACTAAAATGAGCTTTTTTCAAAGCGCTCCATGTCCGCACTCGCTGCAAACTGTGTAAGTGAGAGGAATCCGGATCGAAAAAGCGGGGTCTCTATGACTTCCAAAATAGATTTCAGCCTTTTTTTCGCTCCCTTTACTCAGAGATCAGTTGGGGTGGGGGGGGGGGGCTGCCACTGCAACGCTTCAAAATCTCAATGCACCTCATTTTGCCGGGACGCTGCCTTTAGAGGCACCGTCCACCTTGAGTTGTGGGTCTTGAGATTTTGGCATTTTACGTTAGTAGACCACCCTACAAACCAATGCTCAAATCGCGGCTCAAAAGTCGCTTTGGAAGCAATGAAATCACTTCAGAATAGCGAAGATGCGTTGAGACACCAAGTCGGCAGTGGCGGTCCCAGGATTTTGGCCCGGGAGGGGGGGCGGCAAAATTTTCAAAAGAAAGTGCGTGGCGTTAGCCATGCACTCCGAAAATTTTTTTGGGGTGCTTCTCAAAATTTTGCGGGTCCCCAACCCCAGACTGGAAAAAGGTTATAAGGCTAATTTGAATTTTTAATAAATTTAAAAAATTATTTTAATTGATTACAAAATTAAACAAGTCGTTTGCACATTTTTATAACCCATATAGGTAAGTTTCAAAAATTTCGCGACTCATTCTCGGGGGGGGGGGGGCCCCCGCCTCCCCCCCTCGGACCGCCATTGCAAGTCGGCACCGCCCCTCTCCAGTAATGCTCGCACATGCGTGCGCGCTTATCCAATCACTGCTACGGAGAACCGGCCTGCAGGTTCTTCGGAACGGCTTCGCAGATTCTCGACTTTATATCTCAAATCAGGGACATAAGAAGGCCTCGGAAGACCAAAACATGGAAGTCGTACTGGGTGGACGGTGCCTCTAACAGTTAAACAACGAACACTTAGGCTTCGGGTATAGTTGACTCGAATTCGTGGTTGCAATTGATCGTCAGAGATTTCGATGGTTAGGGGCATGAGAATGCGACGACGAATTCGCTCATCGTAAGTACATGAGCGTAGTATGTGGGATCTCATGTGTTTGCACACATTGCAGCTACGGCGAAACGTGCTCTTAAAGTGGGAAAAAACGAATTTCTATCTTTCAAGCAATGTTCATTTGTCTTACTGTAAATGCAACCAGCTCCAGTATTTAGTTGTAGTATGTGGCTTTTGTAAGGTTAACAGCAGGCAATACACTTGCTCGAAAAAAAACGACCTAAAGCATTTTTTATGTATTAATAATAATAATAATTGATTGTATTAATTGTATATGTATTAAAAAAACCCTCGCAAGCAACTTTCAGTCAGCGATATTACTCAAGCGCCTCGTAGCACAGGCGACGCAATAAAGCCATTTGCCATAGCTGCGGCGATTATCGCTGGAAAATTATGCCCTAGCAAAAAACTGTCAGCGTTCCGTTACGCTGGATAACTACAGCAACCGCCATTGCGGACGACGGGTGTGCAATTGATGTGTGACAGTAGTCAATCCGCAAAAATGCGCAGTGACGAAAAAAGCGAGCATTATGCGCTTTACACTGCATAACGGTAACAGTAAACAATTGAATAAGTAAAGATACTTGGAGATAGAAGCTGTGGAGCGAAGTATAGATTTTCCATGGCAAACTTTGATCAGGTAAAAATGTTGAATATGCAGTAAGATTGAGAGGCGAATAGCAAATTTTTAGCGAGTGATATTTAGAGAGATAGATAGGCATCCGGAAAACTTTAGTCAAAGGAAGCAAAATGGACTAGCACTAAAACGATGCAAATACAAGGGAACCATGTTTAGTCAAAGTGGTTTTTAGAATATTATGTACATTATGTAGGAAAGCATAAAACGTAATTGCAAATTTGCCTTCCTTTTCTATGGAACTCTCTTGGACGAGGAGCTGTGATCTTTTATTATAGCGAATAATTACATGCGCAAAGAGAAATAGTCGTAATATTTTTTCTAGCTTTTTAATGAAGCGATGATAGTTATCAGAACACCTCATTCATTAATACCCTTGAATATGATACAACTTATTTTATTCGAATGTACATTTATTATTTTGTCTGATAAACCTCATAATTCCTCGTCCGCAAATGTTCCACAGGTAAGAAGGGCAGATTTGAAATCAGCGTTTTATGCTCTCCAATATGGTATACATCCAATCTGAAAGGTCACTTCGACTAAACATGACCTCGTTAGTGTGACGAGGTTTAGGCAAAAATCGACTGGGAGCCTGAGCAAGGCATTTTGTAAACGCTATCAAATTCGATTAAGCGCTTAGCCAATAGGGTAATTATCCGAGATCGGAACTTATGGCGCTTACGAGATACGTTCGGGACCGCTTTGGTTGATGTCATGCGAAAGAACGCGGTGTTTTTGTATTTTAGAGGCACAAGCAAAGAGAGTAACGCCAAGCTAAGAGCTAAGAGGTGCTAGGAACGCACTAGATTGCAGAGTTGCTATCGAAGATGAGGCAACGTTAAACGTAAAAGAATATGTAAAAACCGCATACATATCTAATTCCATTCCACCTTTTCGCTCGTATTTTGCCTGCACAACTAGCTAGCGGTCATCAACAGGGTTTCGCAGGAGCAACGATGACTACCCTAGCGGACAACGACAGGTATAAAGCTGTCAGCCATATTACTGCATTACGAATTAAGATGCCAGCTCATAACATTAAGCGACCCGCTCGAAAAAATCTTGCGAACCTCTTCATTGTTTTTCGATCTCTGCCAGATTGACGGAATCGCTGCCTCGTCGTCGCCTTCTGGCTGCCTAGTAATAAACGCTCTCTGCAGTTATTTTCCGTCTCATGGAAGATTACGGTTGCCCGCTGATAGCCCGTCGCCGCCCGCTCACCGCCATTTTTGCAGCATCGTCGCACGCTCATTGAAACTGCTAAGTATCGCCGCCTCACCATAACCTTTGATTTTCTGACGCATCATGCGTTACGAGTTAGTTTTGAGGCAAACCTGTGAATACCTCGCCATAGTCTCGCGAGATAATTCGACCTGTCACGACATGGTCTCTTTGTGACGACGTGAAAATTTAGGACGGGCCCTTATTCACTCCTACATGGGCTAATTCAATCACAGTCCAGATCGCTATGGTTCAGATTGGAGGTGAAGTCATTTAGCAAACAAAGAGCATAACGATGCTTTAATAACTGTTCAGGAAGTACTGCTGGTTGCGGAATTGTTAGCAAATATTGACTCACAATCGACATTCCTTTATCGATAGGACTAAGCACTTGAAGGTTTTGAAAGTATGCAGCGAAGCCTTCATTAAGCCAAAGTTCTTCCCACCAGCTCAACGTCACCAAATTGCCAAACCACTGAAAAAACCAGTTTTACCCTAAAAACACATCTGAAATTTCACGTCATTATACGATATGCTCTTTGAAAAGCAGCTTTCTCAGTTACTTTGTCCCCATAAGTCACTCAACAAATGAAGTTCAAAATTGTTACCCTATGGTATGATATGAAAAGCAGCGATAGATAAGAAAGTAACAGAACCGCCCTGTTTTGTCTTCCAGGAAATATAAGGTGCGTTTTATGACTATACGACCCTCTTCCCCGAAATTTTGGATTTCCGGATTTACAGAAGGATCGAGTTCTCCAGTCAGTGTCTGTGTGATCTAAATATGATATTGAATGAAATCACGTCTCAATCAAAACGTGTACTCACTTGCTTTTCTACATGTAGAGACATGTCTATTCTTCCATTATTTCATAACCATACGACACCTTCGAGCAAGGTACTTTTTCCAAGGAAAACAAAAACCAGAACGGAATTTTTTTGATTAATCGGGCCCATCGGGCTTTTTTACCACTTCATCAAGTCTATTAGAAATGCTTCTGACAAATTTATGCATATCTTCGGTTTAATGTTGTCACATGCGCCCAAAACAACTGCTCCAACTTCTTCAATGCTCATACTGTTTATCTTATCAGAAACACTGTGCCAGTTATCTCCAGAGATTTTCTGAAAGGATTCAAGACAGGACACTATGGTCACATTTACAGAAGCTGCTTATGATGCTGGTGAAGACGGCTGTGAGTAATCCGCGTGCGTGTTCACATGCGTTGCCCTGCTGCGAAACTCAATGTTGTTACAGGAGCCTTGTAAGGAAAATGACAGGATCAAAGGATCAGCTAATGATTTGGTGGTGTAATCCAATCAAACAAATTTTGTCTAGACCACTGTGATGGCTAGAGGACTGATTGGCCGGATGTAAGCGAAATCCACATCATTTTAGCGAGAAAAACTATAGCGGCGGATCTTCTACAATCTGAAAGCATTTTTGTGGCTAAAAAGCCTAAATTTGATGAGAAAATTTGAGCGCAGATTGCTGAAAAGTACTGGAAAGCCAACAACTGTTTTCCTTCCACAAGCGCCAGTGACAGCACCACATTTCGCAGCAGCACTACGCATGTGAACGTGCACGCTCGTCACTTACCCCTTTTTCCGCCAGCATTGCGAGCAGCCTTTGTAAGGGTGACCCTACTGTCTTGTCTTAAATTAGAATACCTCTGGAGATTACTGAGCGTTGTTGAGCAGATACAAACAGTACGAGGCACTACAAAAGTTGGAGCAGTTCGTTATGGACGCATGTGACAACTCTAAACCGAAGACATGCATAAATTTGTCAGAAGCATTTTCGACTTGATAAAGTTGTAGAAAGGCCCGGTAAACTGGTGCCGTATAATTGTAAGACAGTGGAACAATAAACATGGCTTTACTTGTAGAAAACCAAGCGAGTAGACGTATTGAGTGAAATGTGATTTCATTCAATATCATGTGTAGATCACATAGGCACTGATTGGAGTACTCGATTTTTTCCGTAAATCCGGAAATCCAAGATTTCGGGCGATGTCGTATAGTTATAAAACGCACTGTATCTATCTGGGTTCGAGTATGAAGTACTCAATAAAAGGTGGTGAAAAGGATTTGAAGCCTCGTAACTTCTGCAACAAGAGCATCGACAAAAGTAGCACTGATGCCGCGTCGTGTTCTTCCCTTTGACAGATTATGTAAGAATTGGAGAAGAAGTGTCCAAAGACGGTAATCATACAATTGGCCATTTTTTTCAAATAAAGTCCTATTCACATTGTATGAATGGAAAATTACAGCCGAACGAAAGAGGAAAAAAGGATTTTTCAGATAGTGTTGAAATTTATTTACATTGGTTTGATTATTTGATTTAAGAAAGGGTTTTGAATTTTTCAGCGTGATTTGTGGAGTATAATAAAAACTTATCACATGTAATTTTTGAAAAAGGAGAAGAACAATTCTATGATAGTTTGAGTGTTTTTCACAGCAACAGTAAAGCATGTAAGAATATCAGGTAGAGACTATCTGTTTTGCGAGTGCAAAGTTTGTTCGTGAAATTTTCATGCTCCCTTAGTTCTTATTGTTAGATGAGCGATTGGTTTGCAGCAAGATGTGCACATCATTGAGAAGATCTGAGCATGCTTTTACAAGTGAACTTATTGCATTCGATAAAATGCTTATCTACTCCAATTTCTCAGCTTTCAAAAATAGAAGTTTTGAGAACAAACAAAAATTCAACAAACGTTTCGGCACGCGCGCAATTTTTACTACAAGAGGCGTTTTGGCATAGAATTTATACCGACATTGGCACTCGCATCAATGCGTCACATGAATACATGATTTGATTTGCTTCAAAAGCCAAGAGGTAAGCGAGGCGTTTCTTGACCAACATTTTTGGTGAAACGTGCAGAGGTGCTGCACGGAAAATTGCTAGGCAAGAACAAAGCGGTGGCTCATATTGTACGCAATCCTACTGCACTGTTTGAACGAATCCCAACACCAGGAAAGACCCGATGGAGAGGGCGGGTTTGTCTGCAAAACAAAGTTTGGCGTCGTACGGCAAACGCTGCCAAAAGTCCTGCAACATTTGACCGAAGGTATCCAATGTACTCTTTGATTTTCGCTAATATCTACTGTTTCATTCTATCGCAAATCATACAAACGGCGTTTGCTTAGATTCTCAAGACGATCTCAAGCGCTGCTTAGAAAACTTCACTGGATTCAGACTTTCTGAGCTTTTACAAAACTTGAGTGAAATTATGACTGGAAGGTGGCAGAAGGTTACTCAATAAAAGATCTGACGACTGATCCGACTCGTGCAATTGCACTACTGTGGGCGTGCTTTTTTAAAGCATTTTTGATTGAACAGTACTCTTCAGCGCACGGGGACTTGCAGCGTCCCTGCCCTTTAACCACTTTCGTTTGCTAAGCATTCAGTATCTTTTCTTCTTATTTTTCATTTCAGTCAGTCTCGTTTCAATGTCTTTGTGAGACCATCGTTCGCACGCAACATCAAAAGAATAAGCTTTCGTAGTTGCTAATGGTAGATATCATGGCTATGATTGGTTGCGTGTTTTCTTTGATGGTTTATATTTTTAGGACAAACCACTAAAATTAATAAAACCACTAATACTTCTACTCCTACAGAGAGACACCATGTCAAAGTGCTGAAATAAACATTCGTGATCTTATCTAAAGAAAATGCATGATAGCCATCAATGCTTATGAACAAAGCTCAACTTTGATTTAACTTTGCCCAGGCGATGGTTCACGACTTTGGAAATGTATGGTTGATAGGTAAAAAGGGAGAGGAATCGAGAAATATACCCAAATTAATTTTTTCTCCAACTTTCGTATTCATCAAAGTAGAACGTAGGATATTTGAGCATCGAGAAAACTACGAGAAAAAGAGTATGAATGACTGCTTGAAATCAAAAGCCAAGAAAAAATAACAATGTGAAATGTTGAAAGCAACTAAAGAGTTTAAAAGACAGTGTTGCTGCGAGCTACACTTTCCCCGCGCGCCGCAGCGTACTATCAGACTGGAAAGTCTCCAAAAATGCACCCCCAAGTTGGTGTAATTGCAGGAGTCGGGGCAGTCGTATACTTTTTGATTTTTGACGAAATGGCAAATTTTGAAATAAATTTGCCATTCCGTCAGTCTATATTAACTCTACGAACTTATGAAGCGACCTAAGATTACGCTATCTTCAGTACCGGAGTAAATTCTACATAGCCATATATCAGGATCATCTTCCATAAAGAGCATGCTATAGCGCTTGATGGGGAGATGTTCAAGCGTAACTTTGCATAAGCTATCACCGAGAACGAAGCTTTCATGGTGTTCGGAAGTTTTCGTGGTGTTTCAGGGTGAGTTTGGCGCCTTAGATCGGCAGAGGTCGGTTCCTAGTCCAAAATATCTAGAAAGTAAGTTTTTTTACATAGCAGCAGTCCATCTTTCAATAGCGTATGAAATGTGCAGGCAAACTCCGCAAAAAATGACATTTTGCAAGAAAGGTTCATTCATGACCATCCTTTCTCCGGAGAAACACTTGACAAGAACCGCCATCTATTGCGTACAAGCATTGTACGTTTCTTTTTTGAACTGCGTTCTGAAAAAAATTAGAGTCATAAAAAGATTTCCATAGAATGGCTTTTCCACTAATATTTTACTTTCGCATCCTTAAGCGTGATTAGAGCATGTCACACTAACATGCCTACTAGATTGTGGAAAAAGTTCGCAGCTTTTTCAGGCTAAATAGCAGCAGTTTCTTAGCATCAAGTTAGCTGGTTCTCCCGGTCTAGCCCGGGCCACGGCTCCAGCTGATCCTTGCCTTGCTCCAGCCCCCTTCCCCGCCGATCCTTTCCACCTAACCATTATGCTGCGCTGCAAGGGGTTTCTTATCAAAGTGATTCACTCGCTTGGGCTCGTCCTGACTTACCCATCCTTCCTAACGCGAAAATCGAAAGAACTTTACCGCTACTGTTTACAAGAAATCATGGAAATGACTTGTTAACGGATGTTGAGAAATCGTTCTTATGCCAAAAATCAATTAATGAATAGAATGGCTTAGCAAATCGCCGCGAAAAATAACCCTAGACAACCGCCGTGATTAAATACATATGTCAGCAGAGTTTCAGTTAAATCGGTTCAACAAGCTTTCTATAACGAACGAACAACCAACGAACACAAACTTTGAGTCATATATTAGGTCATTTCGAAAGTAATTTCGCTTTTTCAAACGGACACCACATGTGATGGAGCGAAGATTTCTAATTGTAAGAGATCTTGGCAGCATTCGATGCAGCATTTCATTCTCTTTCTAACAGTAGTGAATTTCTCGCAGCCCAGTCATTGAGCATTCGGAAATAATCAAAACCTGTGACGCATGCTTTTTAAGATGGTCAAGTTTCACAATTTTTCAAAACTTTCTGTTGTGTCCTTGAGTCCGGACACTTCGACTCTTCGCCCTGTAGGGCACAGAAGGAAACCGAGAAATT